AAGGTATCTATTGATGGTCATGACATTCCCAGTCTGAACTTAAAGTGGTTGCGTGAGCACATTGGGGTTGTAAGTCAAGAACCTGTTCTTTTCGACACAACAATAGCAGAGAATATCAGGTACGGCAAGGATGATGTGACACAGGAGGAAATAGAAAAAGCAACAAAGATGGCGAATGCTCATGACTTTATCAGGAGTCTTCCCAAGGTTGGTCAATCCAGTTTGGGTACATATAAGAAACACTTAGCGCCTCTGTTAGGTATGTCAGTGGCCAACGTCTACCTGACCTAGGTCCAGAGTCTAGAGTCTAGGTCTAGAGGTCTGGAGTGCGTGCAGAATGTATGACTGTTTGGCTGTCTGCCTCGCTAGGATACCTAGAACAAGATGAAAATTTCCCCCAACGAAAATCTTGTGGTTTTCGCGTAACGCGTAATAATCACGTTTGAAAACTAAGGAAGGAAAAATTGGTGACGAATTTACCTTCTCGTAAGCGATCACTTTGAAAATGACCGTTTTGTTTTCCAGTCAAATACTGTTGTAAAAACTCTCTCGTAAGCGACCAGTACTTACTTCAAGGACTGCCATTATTTTACTAAACCAGAAATTCGAATTATTCTTTTGTTTTTTGTTTCTCGTAAGCGACCACCCGGCATGATCACTTATGACTCTAAGAAATCCATCGCTCGGATGTCACAAAAGTTCAGTTTTTAGAAGCTTTGACCAAGCTTGTGGACAGATTATAGCAGTTGACTTACAAAAAAGATGGCTGTTATACAGTCTGTAAGTAAAAAGGTGGATTATTCCATTGATGCAAAATGTTATGGACAAAGTTTCAACGGTTCCAAACGCTATTCTATGTGAAACATTATCACCAATTGTCTGTTTGCCTACGTTTTAGCTCGTTAGGTAATACCTTTATCTAGTCACGTTAATCAGTTCAGTTTGAGCTTATATTTTCTTAGTTTTTCCCATAGACGACCACCTCCTGTAAGCGACCACTTTGTCGTGCACCAAGGGTGGTCGCTAACGAAAGAGTTGACTGTACGGTTAAATATTCAGTAGAGCTTCTGATAAAGGATAATCAGGTTCAGTTACTTTCTATATGCTTTCTATATACTATCAATATGCTTGAAGTTAACAATTAAAGTGTTGAATAATTTAAGACTAAATTTTGGCCTATGAAGTAACGTGTTTCCACTCACAATATTTTTATCTTACCTTCTTACCTGTAGCAACGGTCACGTTGCAAAAACAGTCTCGCTCAAATTGTTATAGCATCGATCCTAATATCGTTACAACATTGTCACAGCAAAAATAAATATATATTAATAATAGTTGATGAGCCGCGTTGAGTGGCATGCAACCGCTGACAGGCCTTATCTGAAGTGTAACCTTCCATTAACCTAAAATACATTTAATAATGTGATTATCGAGATTCTGATTATTGTTGTTGTTGTTGTTATTTTCCATCAGGGCTATGATACTCTTGTTGGTGAAGGTGGTACTCAGTTAAGTGGAGGGCAGAAGCAGCGTATCGCTATTGCACGAGCTCTCGTAAAAGATCCCAGGATATTGTTGTTGGATGAAGCAACCTCGGCATTGGACAGTGAAAGTGAATCCATTGTACAAGCTGCATTGGATCGAGTAAGAAATTTACATTCAGATTATTAACGTATTACAAACATTTTTGAGGTATGTTTAGTAAATTTGAGTTTCTCAATGAAAGTGTGTCCAACTGAAATCTTGCTGATAGTTACAACACCAGTACAACGGAACAGTTGTAAAATGCCTTTGTTGGCTGAGAATGCGTAAAAAAGAGATTCTACTAAATCATTGTGTACATCCCGGTTACCATAAGATGCGCACGAACCGCCGCAGGTCAGTGCAGGTATCGTTCGCCGTGGGTTTAGTCGTGTTTATTTTTCTCCGATATTTCTCGGCCTTTTGCAGCTGCTAACACGGGAAGTTAACAGTTACTTTTTCGTTTATTTTTCTTTTACTGTGGACGCGCTCCACATTACATTTTTCAGCCGTTATTGTCTGGATGTTTTCCTTTTTCGTGCTCTGTGACGCGTCACAGACGGACTCAGCTCTTGTGCCGAATTATAATTTTATGAGAAGACTCCTGGACGTGTTCAGAGTTTAAACAATTGTGGAGTAACGCGTTTATACCCTTTCGTCGTTTCTTTACGAGTCTCAACGAGTTTGTGGCTAGCTATATAGCCGATTATTTGGACCGATTTTTTGATACCACGTGGAGGACGATTCCGCCATTTTGTAGTGCAAAAAGCTAGACGTTTTCTTCATCCATCTTAATTTCTTCAGACGATGTCTGAGGAGTCTCAGAAAACTGTAAATTCTGGAGGTACTTCACCTGTGGACCTCAAGGCGATGTTTGCCGCACTTTTAGATGATGCCAAAAGAGATACTGTGGCCCACCTACAAGACTCTATCGAGAAGATTTATGCCGATTTTGAAGATTATGAGACCGGCCCTGAGAGCAGTGAAGCGAGCACCGAGTGTTCGGATACAGCTGTTGCAACGGCTGTTGCAACTAAAGTAAACGATTTTATCCAGCCAAAAACCTCAGACCTTGCTGAGGCCAGACCAGGCTCGGCTCCTTTAAATCACTCGCTGATGAATTTAGCGTTATAGAGAAAACTTCACCTGCCATAGATTCAAATTTGGCAGAAATAGTGAAGAGTCTGCTTACAGAGAAGCTCACAAAAAGAAAAGTTGGCCGAAGTACAGAACAAGTAACTCAGACCTGAAAACTGCACTAATTTGGTTGTACCCAAGATAAACAAACAAATTTGGCAACAATTACGACGAGAGACTAGAAATAATGATTCAGCTTTCCAGAAGGCACAGTCCTTGCTCTTGTCAGGTTTATATGCTGTACTTCAGCTGTGTAACAGTGCAAATGGGGATCATATAAATGTTTTGACCCATACAGCAGTCCTGCTGTTGTCAGCAATAGAGAGCTTAATCTGAAACGAAGAGATCTCATTCGTCCTGACCTGAACAAGCAATATGCTGCTTTATGCAACCCATCTACAGCTGTGTCAACATTCTTGTTTGGAGATGACCTAAACAAGGAAGTGGAAGAGTTATAAACAAAGTCACAAAAGCTCAGCAATAAAGTGACTCCTAAGAGATGCATGGAACCTTACAAAGTCCTCGCCTCTAGAGGTGTACGTGGTCGTGGCCGCTTCAGTCAGAGTGCTGGGAGGGGAAGAGCCTCCTCTAATTCTTTTTTAGGCCAAGACCGGGGCCATGCTCGGCCCCAGCAGAATCCTAGGACCCAGTAAGATCTCCAGCTGAGGTAAGTCAGACAACTCTTGCTACTATTATTGCAAATCAAATTCCTTTTTAAGGCAGGAGGGCTGCGAGACTGTCTTCATGTATGGAAGACTATCACATCAGATCCTTTTATCTTAGATGCAGTTACTCACTGTCATATTGAATTTGACTGGGAACCTGGAATATGTACTAGTGTTACTAGGCCTTTTTGTTCCTTTACTGAAATTGAACAGACTATCATTGACAATGAAGTAGAAAAATTCCTTCTTAAAGGGATAATAAGGCTATCATCATATGAGGATGGCCATGTCATATCTCCAATTTTTACAAGGCGTAAGAAATATGGGTCTCACAGGGTTATATTTAACCTAAAGAAACTGAATGAGTCAGTGACATACCATCATTTTAAAATGGACACGTTAGAAACAGCTATTAGATTCATGAGGCCTGGATGTTACATGACATCTATAGATCTGAAGGATGCGTATTACTCTATCCCTATTGCAGAAGAACATCAGAAATATTTGAAATTTATTTGGAGAGATCAATTATATGCTTTCACTAGCCTGCCTATGGGATTGACTAGTAGCCCTAGGATTTTTACGAAAGTTTTAAAAGCGATCTTTAGCTACGTGAGGAGTAAGTTTGGCCACACCTGTCTGGGCTAACATTGATGCCTCTTTCTATCAGGAAGATGGTTATAGGGAGTATGAAGAAGCCACATTATATGCAATACAACTTTTTGTCAGTCTGGGTTTTAAAATCCACCCAGAAAAGTCATTAATTATACCAACACAGATCTTAGAGTTTTTAGGGTTCATTTTGAACTCAATGCTCATGTCAGTTACTTTGACTAACAAGAAAGCTGTTAAAATTTTGCAGTTGTGCCAAAAATTCTCTGTTCCAAATAAACGGTTTACTATTCGTGAAGTTGCATCTTTTCTTGGGACCTTAGTCTCCAGCTTTCCAGGCGTGGAGTTTGGCCCTTTACGTTATCGCCTCATTGAGGTTGGCAAAGAAGCGAATTTGAAATTGAACCAGGGGAATTTGGATTCACTTTTGACCTTGTCTCATGACAGTTTGGAAGAGGTTCACTGGTGGTCTGCAAATGTTCTAACAGCATCAAGAAGAATTTTTCATAATAGTCCTGATGTAGTTGTTTACACTGATGCATCCCAAATGGGTTGAGGTGCTCAAATCGAACATGGGAATAACACTAGTGGCATCTGGTCTAAGTCAGGGTCATCCAGGC